TGGGACAATGCCGTTTTTAATAAACTTCACGATATAAACCCATCTCTTGATATGTCACCATCTCTATCTCTGTCAAATCGCCGTGATCAAACAGTTCTTCTTCGATGCCGAATCGGACACACTAAAATAACCAACTCTTGTCTCCTCACAAATGACAATGCCCCTTTCTGTGTAGGTTGTAATGAAACTTTTACCGTCAAGCATTTTCTTCTTGAATGTCATGATTTTTCACAGGCCCGTAATAGATTTTATTCTGTAAATTCACTCAAAGAACTTTTTAATACAATTCCATCAAAAAACATAATTGATTATTTAAAAGAATTAAACTTGTATTCTAGGATCTAATTGGCTTATTTTTATTGTCATTTACAATGTTTTACATAATATTTTAAGCCTATTATAGCATTCGGCACGATATGGCCAGTTATGTGTTGACGTGCCGTAAAAATCCAAACAAACAAACAAAGTTGACAGTAGCTTGCACTTTCCAACAAGCTCAATCAAACCGAGCCTACACCATTTTTCAATTTTGTCGTTATGTGCGTTACTTAGAAATTCTTGACCGTCTCTGTGGTCGAGGGGTTAGAGTCGATGACTTCTAATCCAGTTACCTCTCTGGCGTGGGTTCGATCCCCGGGAGATGCTTTGGTAGTTTAGCACGGGGGAAGGTTGTCTAGTACTGGTGTAACTCTCCAGGAACGATGGTTAGGAAACTACCCGCCTATATGACTGAAATACTGTTGGAAAAGGGCGTAGAATGAAACAAACAAACAAAATTAGAAATTCTTTATTTCTCCTTATTTTAAAACTTCTTGCACATCGACCTTAACCGATCGATGATTACCTATACAAAACTATGATTCCCTAGCACCGCCTTAAGCATATTTTTATAACGCATTATTCATTGTTACAAATTGCATCATGATTTATACTGTTGCAAATGCAATTGCAATCAAACTAATGCTGACTGTCAGTCACTTAGTTTCTAAATTTACAGACAAATCATACGTCTCCTACAGTCCTGTAGTACTTCCAACTTCAAATAGTTTCATAAACCATCCTCTGGTAGTGAATCATTCTTCTGGCTAAAAGGAAGTATTAATTTTCAATTACCTTGTTTAAGGCCCATTGTGCCTCAGAAATGCGTTCATTTTAACTTCTCAAATTTTTTTTGATCATGTGTCTCACACAACAACATCCAATAATAACTCTTTCCAGGGTCATTGAAAAATGATTTCTGATACTATATACTTTCAACTTATTATTTCTGTATAACAGACCTTCCATTAAAGACCAATACACTTGAGTCATTTTTGATGACTAATATTAACATTTGAAAAACTATAACTGGCTAATCTTCAAATGTTACCATTTTTGAAATCCATATCAAATGAAAAATGCTTTCATTAATCAATATCGGATAAAGGACTTAATTAAATTAAAATTGTTCTAAATTGTTGATTTTCAACAATGAAATGCAATTTAGGATGTCTACTGACGTTCTGTTGGAAAGAAAAACACAATATCAAGCACCGCTGACTATTTATTTAACGCAGATAATAATCATTATGGCTATTTGTCAATAGAAAGACACACTTTGCGCAATTATGAAGCAATAAAGCATGGCATTTGATAAGTTTATTCTCAGTGCAAGAACAATGGCAATCGGTATGATTTCGTGCAGTGCATGTTTGGTTTTAGTCTGTTCAAACTAAACTGATCTCTTTTACTACCATATATCTTTTGTAGACGTTAATTGAATTCTGAGATCACAAACTAAATTACACCACAAAACAAACATTGTAACTACTTAATCATGATATTTGTACGGTAGCACAAAGGTGACATTTGTGAGTTTTTATTTATCTCGTGCACACGAGATCACGAGTTAGTCAGTCCTAGAGCACATGTCTAGTTAACAAGGAAAATTAATATATACATGTAAAGTGTCATCTGATTTGCTTAATTTCTCGTGGTCATGACAAAGTATCTCACGCGCACGACATAATAAACTCGATGTCACGTGTAGCCTAAGTCGTGGCCGCGAGACAATTCAGTCGTGCACACGAGGAACTATATTGTGGCCACGAAATACTAAATACAAAGTATCTCGTGCGAACCACTTAAGTAGCTCGTGGCCACGATATAGTTATATCTGGCCACGACATAGTATCTCGTATACTCGTGATAAATAAACGCACGCACACACACATACACATCACCTCTGTGTCACCGTATATTTACATATTAATGTTTTGAAAAGAAGCAGTTTGTTTGTTTCGTTTATTGACATTTTCCCAAATGCGTTGCTATGCATGTATTTCTTTTACCATTGATGACGTTTCAAGATAAGTCAGTTATAACATAATGTCGGCTCGTTTAGAGAAACGCCCAGATCTGAATAACTCAATATGAAGTCAATACAATATCAAGTTTAAACTTTATAAATATGTTTTTATTTAGTACAAATGTAAGATGTAAGTTTCTATAAAGCAGATGTTTAAACAGTGTCTTTAACAATTTCACAAGTCTTAAACAAATAAGTAAAGTACGTAGCATGATTTGATGTCAACTGCGTATTTAGCATAATTTAACCTGAGTGAGTGCGTATTCTTGAATCAAAACGACAATTCCGAATGTAATATTTGGCTTACTTTATATAGAGCTTTTAACTTACGTCAAATATTTATTAAGCTATAATTCATGACTGAAATATGCCTTTCCGGACAGTAAGAACTTATGTTTACTCGCCTATCGGTACGATACCCGCTTATGTGATGAATTAACTAAATTGGAATGTTTTATTGACATATCTTACTCGCGTATCCGATGACAGTTTACTTAAGCTTATCATTATTAATATCCGCCAATTAACTAGCGATGTTCTGTTGTTTACCTTAGGGTTAATTACCGACCGATAACCGTTATCCTACAGAAATATGAATTATTAACGACTGCAAGTAAAAAAATAATAAATAAAAAGTTAAGTCATTCATATAGTATTCCACTTCAGTGCTGTTAGTGATTCCGAAAATGGCAAGAGAGGAAATGATTTTAATTTATTTTACAATTCTGTTATCTGTGTATGTTAATTTACTTACAATATTTGGAGCAAATGGTATAGTACATTATAAAATTACAAGTCATCATACATGTTTATCGTCTAATACTATATTATATAATGTCAATGGAATCTCTATTCAACAATGTGTGGAGGATTGTGCGATACTTCCAAAATGTTCAGCTGTCAACTACAAACGGCTTTATAAACTATGTGAACTGCATTCAGTTCTGCACGAAAATCGCGTGGCTCGTTCCGGTGAATCTTGTTTGTATATAAAAAGATCCGATATACATAGTGAAAAGGTGAGTGAAGTTAAGGAAATCATAAATTCTGTTAATTGACCTTAAACTTACCTGATTTTTTGATTTACCAAGTTTCTTTTGGGTAACTGACCATTTCCAAAACACGGGAAGATTAAGATAAAAACCTTAATGAATTAGTAAAGAACACTGGCCGCGGTACCTGGTCAAGCTGCAAGGACTAGACTGATTCCGCATTGTTGGTAAATGATTATTCTGAATAGGGCAAATTGCATCTCAAACATTAATTTATAACAGTTTCCATAATTTATATTCGAGGTTATATGCAGTCATCAGTAAATTTTCATCTATCCTTCAGAGTATTCTTACTAAATTAGAATATTGTTATTAAATTACAAACATTGAATTTGTTATAAGAACAAAATGAAAAGCTAGTTTTAAGTATTTTTTGCATTTGAAGTCCTCTACTGTCGGATGTCAAACTTGTGAAGATGAAAACTGTGGAACTAAGCAGTGTGATTCAAAATGTAAGTTTAAATACAGTTACCTTAAAGCGAATCTTGCTTCAAAATATTTCCATTTGCATTTAACTATTATCACTGATAATTGTTTTCATGTTGTAACCTCACTATGGCTTCGAGAGAGATTCGTTAAAGGCGAATTAAAATATTTTCTTTAAAGGCACATTAAGTCTCGTTTTTTTGTTGTTTTTTTAATTATCTTAAGTCTGTTGAAGTTGCAGGCATGCTTTTCATAATATAAGAATTTAAGATTGTTATCATGCGAAGTAAATAGAAAATAGCGCTGAATGTGAATTTTTTTTGACAAAAAAGCAAGCTGTTAACAAAGTGGCATTTTGGTTTCCATTCAAGATATCACATCACTACTATAACTGTACTAATTGCCAAAATGCAAAAGAAGAAAAAGATGGCCAAACTTGATGACTAATAATTAACTATTTGAACACCGAGAATATAGAGCATAAATAATTTAAGAATAAACATATTTGCATCTTCGAAACTCAATGGGTCTGTAACTATCTTACAAATAACCAAGTAGATGTATTTTCAAGTATTTAGATGTTGCTTTTTTGATTACATATCGACCCAATAAACTCGAGCCTGAGGTTGATGTAATGGGTTTTGATTATCTGAAACTTGATTTGTTAGAAATCTGGAGGTTTGATCCATTTTGAAATACACGAAAATAAAAGACATATCTATTAATTCACCAACTTTCAAACAGAGTATGTTTGTAAATAAAAGAAAAATATTCATAAATAACGCTCAAAACGACAAAATTGAAAATGTGGCAAGCTGTGTTTGATTGAGGCAGTTCATGTAAAACCTTCAAGGAAACATTAAGTAACATCTTAAGAAAGACTTGCTGATTACTCATTGTTCATAGATTTGCATTCTTCCCCTCCCCCCCCAAAAAAAAGAGAAATAGTTATTTAATAATAATTAGGACTTATCTGCTGTTGTTATATACGCATGCATATCTTAATATTTAAGGGATTTTAAATCGTTTCATTCTTGAAAATATGTCCGTGCATTTTACGTCAAAGATAGTTTCAATAAAATTCTAAATAATTATCATGTACATAGTAATTATGGTAACAATCTATGCGATTTAAGATATTAATATTGCAATGAAAAATTTTGCATGTCTTTATTTTGGCTTGTTTTAGTTTGTGATGCTTTTGAAATAAAGGATGGTTCCTTTCTTGGCAATATGAAGGTGGTTGGTTCACGAGTAAAAATCACGTGTCACAAATATTTCAAGGAAGTGTCAGGAAAGATGCATTCGGTCTGTCAGAGAAATGGGTCATGGTCACACTATCCGAGTTGCATTCCAAGTAACTATTTTACAATTATATTCCTTTTCATGATATACTGTGCCAAATGTTGATATTTGAAAGTATTGATAATTGCTATACGGTCTTTTTCCGAATATAAAATGAGCATGTATTGACTTCACACAAAGTAGATATGTATGCCTTAACAGTAAGTGGACACACTGTGATTGTACTGTATCATAAAGAAATTGGATATTTGTAAAGTGAAGGACCAGCTTGCCTTAAAAAATATTCAATTAAGAAATAATATCGGTCTTAGCGGTGATTATCAGCTATTTAACACCGGTTTGGAGTTTTTGATGCGTATGAAATGACCACGAGTGGTTAATGTTTTCGCAATAAAACGACATGTTTTCATCAGTGCCCCATGTATCATTTTTTGTACGAAATGACGTCAGCTTTTATGAATGAGTTGTGTGCTTGGGTTGACTTCATTACGCTGCTTACGGATAATCGCCGTTTTGTCAAAATATTTATTAACTAATATGGAGCAAATATGTGGCGTCAGTGTATGAGATATTTATTTCGGTATTGTATGAAAGAAAATATTATAAGAACTGAAAATATAAATAAAAAATGCTTTTTATTGTTGCTTAAAAAGGCTTTGTTAACCATATAATCGAATTTGAAAACAAAACAGCCAAATACAAGTAGTCCCTTATCAATGCTAATTGTCACTTTAACACCGGCTTTTAGCTCACAAGAACCGAAGGTTCAGGGTGAGCTATAATTATCAAAGGGGATGCTCTGGCGTCCATCGTCATGCGTCAACAATCGTCTTCTTCTCTTAAACTGCTGGGAAGATTTACTTCAAATTTGGTCTGTAGCATCCTTGTGACACTCACACTTGATTTTGCTCATATCATTTAAATTGGCCTCTTAATGGGGTAACAGAGTTAAAAATAGAAAAAAAACGTTGAAACATCTTCTACTACAGAACTAATTGATGGATGTTCACCATGTCTGTAGCATTCTTAGGAAGTCTTTTATCAAGTTTGCTTATATAAATTTGATTGGTCTCTCTTAGGGGTCTCTATGGCAAAAAATAGAAAAACCTTTAAACATCTTCTTCTATAGAACTTATAAATGGATGAACTTTTTCTGTAACATTTTTGGGTAGTCTTTTATCAGGTTTGCTCATATTAATTTGATTGGCCCCTTTAAGGGGCCGCTAAAGCTAAATATAGTAATACATTAAAACGTCTGTTTCTACAGATCTAATTGATGGATGATCACCAAATTTTGTCTGTAACATGCTTGGATAGTATTTTATCAAGTTTGCACATAGTAATTTGATTGGCCTCTTTAAGGGGCCGTGAAAGCTTAAATAGAAAAACCTTTATACATATTCTACTACAGAACTTAATGATGGATTATCACCAAACTTTGTCTGTATCTTAGGTACACTTTTAACAAGTTTGCTCATATAGTCATTTGATTTGCCCTTTTAAGGGGCCGACCCAAACCTGGTTCGCAAGCTTAAAAAAGACATGAGCAAATAAAGCTTGTGGAAAGCTTAGAATTGCTACCTCGCGACAAGCTTGCACGCTTTAGATTTTAAAGGCACTTCAAGCTTGCTTCAAGTGAGTTGCAATCTTGCGGCAAACTAGTTGCAACATTTCTAGTTGTGCATAGAATCTTGATTTTTACGCTGATAGTTTTTGCACAGTTATGGCAAATAAATGGTACATTTTTGAAAAAAAAAATACTAGTAAGATTGTCCGCACTTCATCACCAAAACTGTTGGGGGATTTTAGTGAAACTTCACAGGATTGTTTGTCACCAAGACTAATTGTACTCTCTTTATTTTCCGCTTTTTTGACACAGTTATTGCCCTTAAATAGTCTTTTTGTTAGTTAATAAGCTTGTCCACGGCACATTTCCAAAAACTGCTGGAAAGGTTTCAGTTAAATTTCACAGGACTGTTTGTCACTTTGGGGATTTCAGTGAAACTTCAAAAAAATGTTTACCACCAAGCCTAATTGTGCATAGTTTCTTGAGTTTATGTTTGATTTCTTTTTTGAAGAGATATGGCCCCTTAATTTGTCATTTGTTTAGTATAATAATTTTCTCCACTCTGCATCTCCAAAACCACCTGAGGATTTTCACTGAAACTTTACAGTATTACGTGTCACCACGATTTTGCTTTTTATTATTTTTGGCACAGTTATGGTCCGACTCTTAATGGGTTATAAGCTTGCCCGCCGAAATGTTCAGTTTACAAGTAACAGTCCACGGCTGAGGAATGGGGAAATTTCAGTAAAAGTTAACAGAATTTGTTTGTCGACATTTATGCATAGTATCTTAATTTTCTAAATAATTGTTCGGGGCGGGGAAGGGGGACAGTTATGACCCCTAAATGGTTAATTTTCGGGTGAAGTAGGCGCTTTATCTCCAAAACCGCTGGCGGTGGGAGATTTTAGTGAAACCTCATAGAATTGTTTGCCACGAAACCTATTGGTGCATAATATCTTATTTTTTTTCAGTAAATTAACTTTGTCCATCCTTCATCTCTCAAACCACTTGGAAAAATTCAGTGAGTATTTATAAAATTGTTTGCATGGTGTCATGATTTTCAAAGTCTAGTTGTGCATTGTGCATGAAATCCTGCAAAATGTTTCTTGCACAGTTATGGAACTTGATGATAAATTGTTTTTGTGAAATTTGTTATGATTTTTTCTCCTTCACTTCTAATGAAATTTCAGTGAAATTTTAGGAAAATGTTTATCAAAAGCGTTCGAGCGTATATAAGCGGTATTTTGACACATTTTTGTGTTTTTAGGTCAACGCTTTCTTTTGTGGATATGGGTCCCTTTAGTGACAGCTCTTGTTTTCTCTTAAATTTATTATCTTTAATAAACGCTTGTTTTTTTTGTTTTGTTTTTGTTTTTTGTTTTTTCCTAGTTTCCTTAACGTTATGAAAGTTCATTATCCTTTATTATTTACATTTTATGTAGTAATACTCTGATTACAGATTTCAAATACATCGGTTGCTTTGAAGATCGACCAGACAGAATTCTATACGAAAGAGATATTAGGCCGCCATTATTAACAACAGACTTGTGTATCAGAATGTGTATTGAATATGATCATAAATATGCATTAACAGAGGTAATTTATGAATATGTAGGGACGATTGTTTTAACACGTTATATATTTTCCGGATAGTGTTTTTATGTTGGATACAGGCCAAATATAAATCTTTTATCGTTTATTTCTAAGTTAGTAGGCGAGTGAATGAGTGCGTATGTGCGTGAGTGAGTGAGTGCGCGTGTGTGGAGGGGGTCCTTAATACCTATACCCCATCACATATATATTAGACAACCAGCAACTTCTTTGGCATTCAATTTCATTCACAATTGCAACTAAAACACAAATAAATGAATTGGCATGGTCAAACCAATAGTTCATTTCAAAAGTTAATATGATAAATAGAGAGTTGTGGATTAGTTAGCAGTTAGTTTAACAAAATTGTATGTTGATTTAATTGCCGAGGGATAGTCAAAATCATTGGTTAAAGAGTGTACATATAAAGCTATATTTTTGCTACCAGAAATTTACAAACTTTTGTTTGAATTGTGCAAAAGAACAATTCAAATATTTCTTATGAATGAGATATATTGGTATATATTTGCTTTTCAGTGAATGGCGAAAGCACAAAATCATTGCTAATAAAAATAACACTATAATATTTAGTTTCCGAACATTTATTCTGTTTACATACAGTTTTCATATTACTTTTGTGTTAAATAATATAAACATTCTATATTACACTTCTTTCAAAAAGCGACCAAATCATTATTGAAACAGCATAAATTTACCGTTTTTAAATTTCATAAAATATTTCATACGTGATACTATCTTGACACCATTAAAAATTAATTAATTCATGAATTGCTATGTTTGATTTACTTGTATATAGGCCGGTTATGCGTGTTTCTGTGGTGACACGTTGAAAAACTACCCTCAACAACCGGAGAATGAATGCAACATGCCATGTCAAGGGAATCAAAGTGAAATGTGTGGGGGTTCGTGGAGAGGTTCCCTATACAGACATCTTATCATTTAAACAGACTAAATATTTTGTAAAAAAAACGCTATTAGATGTATAAAAATGATAATTGATAATGTTTGGAGAAAGGTGCCTTGCCGTGTATTATTTCAGATACGAAGAGAATAGAGTAGAATCACCGACTTTCCGTAAGCTAGCTGGATGACACATGTTTGGGATAAAATATAAAAAATACCTAAAATATAAAAGTGTGCCCAACTTTTGTTACATGTACCGATACATTCCGAAAAATGTTCATAGAAATGTATATAGGTTGCGTGGGTTATTGATGGGTAAACTTGAATCACAAAATTGCCTTAGAAATCATTGCTTTTTAAAATCCTCTGTATTATATATTTACTAATGTATGTTCAACTAACACTTGAAACTTTTGATCTTTTTCGCCTTGAACGCTTGGTTAAAGACTTTGTAATCAAATGAAAATCACAATGCAGAAAAAGTGCTTTTTTATGTCGCTGTTCGGGCATATATAAACAAGACAAAAATCATTCTGTTATAAAATTCTAGGTTTCATACAATGTCGTAAGGAATGAAAGGAAAATCCATTCATATGAAGTAACTAGGTCAACAGTTAACATGTATTCTTTTTACCCTTAAAACAGTAGTTTACAAGAAAAGCATTGATGCTAAGCATCAAAGGGCGTCCAATCAAGAAATGCAGCAAGTGAAGATGAACTAGTAGATATATAATGACAAGATATTCTTATAAACTACCAGAAATGTATATCACTTATGAATGAGGGGACGAAAGACATTGTTCATTATGAACTTTGATTGGCATGCTAGAGATTACAATATTACTTGTTATTTCTTTATGATCGTGGTTATTAATAGCAACGGATTTACATGTATACAATCATTTATAATCCATATGTGTAACACATGATCAACACGTACCACACCTTTGTAATTGTCCCTTATTATGTAATCGCTATTAGCGAAGACCCCCTCTCAAGGTATCTGTTCACACTTAATAAAAATATGACACTGGTTATATTACCATGTTGATCATGTTGAACATAATTGTTTATTATACAATAATTGTAATATCTATTAATTTAAATAAAAAAATAAAACTTTTATGAATATTAATTGTTTTCTTTTCTTTTTTTGTGTTTTATGTGCTATATTAATACTGAGTTTTTATGTTTAGTACTCTTTTTTCTTAAAATTGTAAATAAATCTTAAGAATTCAATGGTCATATTGACCAACGATTGTAAGTCAAAACTTAACTGGAAAAAGTCAGTAAATTATGGTTTATCTTTCAATATATAATATTGTTTATTCTTAAACCATGTACATGTACATTTGTATTTTTCTTTATCATTTTTTGAATTATCAATCAATTGAATAATTCATAAAATCTAATTTGTACCTTTAAATAATTCCTCGGCATCTTTACTAAACACGGATAACAAATTAAATAAAATGTTTCAAATTTGATAATGTCATATTCATACCATAAAAATGTATCTTTTTCGCAATTATTGTACATATTTATTGTTTTTATATCATATAGATAAAATGAAACATGCTATTGTTGTTGTTGTTGGTTTTTTTTTTAATTGTAACGATATCAAACATCTACTCCAAAGACAACTAACGTGTGGTACTATTCGCCGGTGGTCAAAATAGACCGGGAGAGACCGGGAATTACCGATAGGAGTGATAAATAGATATATCTATAAAAAGATTTTCGGAATATTTAGGTCAACAATAACATACCATGATAACCCACTGTGTACTACAAAATGATAAATAAAAAAAACCGTAGAGCGCGATTTATTGACGGAAAAGGTTATTTCATTTGAAAATGTTTGCATTGCGAATCTCCAGTTCGCTATTCATTGTAACATATCGCGACATTTCATTCTTAATTAATAATAATCAAGCACCCTCATACCGATCGGAATGATCGGCTTTTATTATGACGGACTAAAAGGCTCGAGAAGTTGTTGTCGCCCTTTCACAAAATCCGATTTCATTCCATAAGGGCGCCGCGCTTCGGCGCGGACGCCAACAACAACTGTGTAAATGAATGTTATCAGTAAAAGTTTAATGGCTTCTAGTTTACAACTGTGTAAATGAATGTTATCAGTAAAAGTTTAATGGCTTCTAGTTATAATAAATAATACATTCACTTTTATTGTTACAAACAGAATTTGAAATGTAATAATGACGTTAACTTTTTCCAGTTAAGTAATTTTAACGAAATTTTACAATTTTCATGGCGCACCAACACAAGTTAGGATATATGTCGCCGAAAAAGGAAAGATGATTTTTGCTATCCTCGCGTGTTATAAACTAAAAGCGACACCAGGAGTCGATAAGTAGAGATAAACAGTGGCCTCACCTTATTTCCTTATTCTCAAGGGGAAATTTACGAATTTAATCTGATCAAAATATTTAGTGCAGTAAACTCTATGAATATTTCATCTTAAACATTGAAATAAGAAGATCATAAAGCGTTTCCATTTGATAAGTTTTTCATTGCAATATTGGATTTCACAACAATTTTAATCTATGAAGCATTTTACAATTTCTTCATTTACACCGAATATCTCTCAAAAATGTGTTTCATTAAGGTATGATCCCCCTAATGAGCACTATTAGGAACTGTCAAAATGACAACACAGTCAGTTAAATGCCTTATACGTTTGCAAAATTCAAACAAAGATTACTGTACGGTTTAAGAGGTATGGACAGTTTTTCTGATCTTAAGCTTTGTTTTAAGAAGGGTTCTTTTTCAGGAATGAGAAAACTTTAACTAATCTCTATTATCATCATTATAAAAAATGTTTTTCTATTGATCTTTGTCAAGAATCAAGTAATAGCATTAAGCTTTCTAATCGGTATCCAGACAATTCCCCTCCCGGACGATTCCCCTCCCAGTAAATTTGAATGTTTTTTCACAACCCGGACATTTCCCCTCCCGTTATTTTTTTTACGGCGGACAATTCCCCTCCCGTTCTTTTATCGACCCGGACAATTCCCCTTCCGTTCTTTTAACAACCCGGACAATTCCCCTCCCGCTGTTGTCAGAGCGGACAATTTCCCTCCCGTGGCTATTGAATATATATAATTATTATATAATATTGTTTATTTGAAAGGTATATACATTTTTGCAGCGGCAAAACAATAAAAGAACAATTGATAAGAACAAAAAAAAACAATTAAGCTGTAGATTCTTGCAAGGAATATATTATGCACATGTTACAGTAAATTGAACTGTCATCATCGTCATTATGATTAGAAAATCATATTCACCATATTGAATCAGTACATGAAGTCCTAACACAAAATATCAGTGATCATTTTGATTTTATATATGTTTGAACACATTTGTCGGAATATTCTCCTTCATTTTTAATTGGTTTTGCAATCAAGGACACATTTAATTAAGGGCGGCAATGATTAAAGATTTTTTATTGACAGTTTGTTTATCTAAAGCAGCGGCGGCAATGATTAAAGGCGGTATAATGTGAATATATTTGTGAAATAATGATTGTTAAAAGTTCCGATCTTTATCAGTTTATTGTTAAGAGTAAAAACTGTCATCTTAAATAAGAATGGTTATAGATTTTTTTTACGCAATGTGAAAAAAATGGAGGGGAATTGTCCGCTCTGCTAAAAAATGGGAGGGGAATTGTCCGCTTCTGCTAAATTAACGGGAGGGGAAAAGACCGCCCTATTAAAATAACGGGAGTGGAAATGTCCGGGTTGTGAAAATAATATGGAAGGGGAATCGTCCGGGATTCTTACAAATCACACAAGCAAAATAATTATTTCAACCAAAAATGTATGAAATAGGTAGAAAATGTTTACCTCTCCCCCACCCCCTCTCAGTGCTGCATTACTAATACTTGTACTGCAGTACGTACTGTAGCAATTTTGCAAGTACTGGCACTTATACTGGGTTATTTTTACAAAATGTTGCTACTACTGTTACTGTTACTGCGTTACTGTCTTAAAAAGTGGTACTGTTACTGTATAACCAGGCAGTACTTTGCTTTGGTTGTGAAATGTCATCAGTTGTTCTTGTTGGGTTTACTAGTAAATAAAAGAGCAATTAAACACTTATTAATTGTTTCTATTCTAAATTTTGTTTGTTTGTGTCATTTTACGCCTTTTCCCAACAGTATTTCAGTCATATAGGCGGGTAGTTTCCTAACCATCGTTCCTGGAGAGTTAAAACAGTACTTGACTACCTTCCTCCGCGCTTAACTACCAAAGCATCTCCCGGGGATCGAACCCACGCCAGAGAGGCAACTGGATTAGAAGTCATCGACTCTAACCACTCGACCTCTATTCTAAATAATACTATTTCAAGTTATATTGTCAACACCATAATTACTTGTTTATTACTTTGGTATAAATTGAACAGAGGTGTGAAGGTGTGAAAAGCAAAACAAACGACTGTTGTGTTTTAAATGAAAGAGTATAAGAGTGAAAGACGATCGCATTGTATTTAATAAGTTGACTGGTTACTAAACAAAAAGATTTATTACCCCTCACTTTTTTCGTAATGCTAGTTTCCATAAGGCCTCTGGGTGTTATTTTTACTGTAATGCAAGCGTACCACCTGAATAAAAAAAGAATAAAAGAAAAAGAAAACAAACTTCTCAAGTAGGCCTACAGTAAAGTACACTTTAAACTTAAAAGATAAGGACAGTTTTGTTGTTACTCTTGGTTTATTTGTTACAGTTAGATTTAGTTGACAATTTCAGATCATCTCAGTGTTTTTGTTCGGGGTAATAAAATAAATAACACATGGGTTTGTGAGTAAGAGTAAAAATATCATCCCTCGTAAAATACTGTTACCCTCGGCTACGCCTCGGGTTACAGTATTTTCCTCGGGATGATATTTTTACTGTTACCCATAAACCCATGTGTTATTTATATAATAACATGTTTGAAAAAGTATGTTAAATCATCAAAGTTGTAAACTTTAAAGTAAATAGTAATTCCAATTATTTTGCTGAATCACGTTTGCATT